TCCTCCCTTTGGACTTTCCTGGTGGTTGGGCAAGGCGTGCAGGTCCTGGCTGGGCACCGTTTCTCTTGGGGATTTTGCTGGCATGGGGGCATCATCGTTGGTGTCCAGCAGGGCTCCTAAGAAGCCCAAGCCTCAGGATTCCTTATCCCCCACTGTGGCGGGCGGGGCTTTGCTCTCCGGGAGGTTTCCTGTTTTTCCCCCTTTGTTTGTCTTCTGTATCGGAGGTGCCTTGGTGCATGATTGCAGGGTCTTCTAGGTGAACGTTTCGGTGTGTAGACTCATGCCGTTCGGGAAGATGAACTGTTCCCCAGTTTTCTGTATTACTCTTCAGCCGCTTGGCTTACTTGACTTGGTCTTCTACTTGTATTATTCTTCTTTAAATTTTCTGTCTTTTTTACTGGGAATCCAATCCAGGGGCACTCTACTGCTGATACAACCCCCCGCACCCCTCCCCCGCTCTCCCTTCTTCCTCCCTCTGCCCTGGGATGCAGTCATCTGCCCCAGGGGATCAGCATCTTCTCTTGAAGTCTCTGGTCCTTCCACATTGGGTTTCCTGCTTGTTTCGATCCTGTCTGCCCTCGAGGCTTTCTTCCACAGTCTGTGCCCTGGTTGTTGGCTGTGTTTGAGGTTGTAGCTGACCTACACGAAAAGCTTTGGGCTGGGCTAACGTCCTGGCCTGTTACACAACATACTTCCAGGATGGTGGAGACCCTGGAAAGTCTTCATCCTCTTGCCTTGCTGGCCTGAGCCCAGCAGCTGGCATCATGGGGACATTCAGCACAAGCACTCACTTGCTGCTCTGTCTTCTTGCTGCCGTACCCTGGTACCCTGTGCAGGGCTGGGAGATGCAGCGAGGTGTAGTGAGGACAGCTTTCCAGTCGCCCTGCCCTCCTCGTCTTGGCTCCTGTGCCCTCATGCCCGGTTCTCCCAGCCCAGGTCTTAGGGACTCTGCCAGGACAGCTTAGTACTTAGGGTTTCCCCACAGCCTCCTGCGGGGGGGGGGGTCCCTTCTTCATGTGCTGAGTGTGCTACCCCTGGGCCATCTGCTCCCCAGCTTCTGAACAAGCACATGCGCACACACACACAGACACACTCACACATCACAGTTCCAGTGGTGTGCCAGGAGCAAATCTGAATAAATGTTCAATGCAATGCTTTCATCTTTCCCCTTTTGTCTTTCCTGTGCAGTTTTCCAGCATACCCGGACACTTCTTTATGCCTCCCAAGTTCTCCCGCCCTCCCCTCTTCTGGTCCATTCTGCCCCCTTTCCTACTCAGTCTCCACTATCTGAACTCACAAAGCCTTTGTGGGTCTAGTTTTCTCCTGACACAGTCTGTCCTTTTAAACCACCTGTTTATGTTGCATCTGATACCTTGGAATTTCTGTTTCAGGCACCAGTTGCTGCTTTACTGTCATTTAGTGCTTTTTGCAGAGAAACACTTTTGCTCCACATGGGTTTTCACTGATCTTCCGGTCTTACGTTTACATGTAGATTCCCATTAGAAAATGAGGCCGGCTGCTGCTCAGTGCACAGCTCAGACAGAAGCGGGCTGCAGTTTCTGGTTGTGGATACTTTTCTCCAGACACGCACAGGTATGCGATCCGAAGGGACAGTTCCTTACTCGGTCACGGCTCAGTGTGCGCGTTAACTGGCACAGTGCTTGGTGCTCCGTGCTCCGTGCTCCGTGCTCCCTGTAGAGCGAGACTCCTGGGAGGTGGCAGGGGTCAGCCTGGCACCCTGAATGGGACTGTGCCTCTTGCGAAATGGCCTTTGTTCCATTCTTGCTCAGTCTTAGAAGTGTTCATCCAGCCCCAGGCCAGGCCCCAGGCTGTGTTCTTTATCTGGAGAAGAAGCAGTGATTCTTTTGGGGTTTGGGCTCCAGACTCTGAGTTTGGGAGACTTTACCTTTGATAGCCGTTCCTTCTGCCACTGAGTGGGTAAACTTTCTCATTTGCCATGGATTTTTGGTTGTCATTAGATAAAAATACTGTTAGTATTTGTTTAGTTTACTTTTTAAGAAACAGTGTTGCTGTATTGTCCAGGCTGGCCCTAGACTCTTGGGCTCAAGCAATCCTCCTGCCTCAGCCTCCTGAGTAGCTGGCATTACAGACGTGTGCCACAGCACCTGGACTTATCAGTGTTTAAACCTTTATTTTAAATGAACATATCATAAATAAGACACTTGGGCTGTTTTTATGATAAAAATCCATTGTTATGTCATATTTATTTTTCTATTCCAGTGACCAGTGCAGTTATTGTAGAATTAGTGTCTTTTTTTTAATATAAAAAGTGGCATATTGCAACTTTTTTTTCCTTCACCTTTATGTTGTGTTTCTTTTACAGTTTCGGTTGACAGGACAGTGAAGATTTCTGTTATTATTCAGACTTTTTGACGCTAACTGCTGTACAATAGAGTCAGCTTTTCCCCTGTGATACTTGTCTCTTCCCTTGAAAATGCTGCAGGTCCTCTGATGACTGAGAATTGTGTCGCTGAAGTGGTCAGTTAAAATCTCCCGAGACTCCGGCCGCCTTGCTGGTTTTCGTCGTCTGGTGGGAGGAGGTGTTTTCGTGTGCCCTGCTGACACCTGATTTTCTGAGTGCAGTGGGCACTGTTGTGATTGCTGGTGACCCCAGTCAGGTTCCCTCAGCCCGATTCATAGAGCGACACATGTGATGTGGTCAGGGCCACTGGCGGAGTCGCGAGCAGTGTCCAGATCGCAGAAGCCTCGCTCGGGTGGAGGCGCCTCACAGACCCAGTCTTGGAAGAGGAGGGCATGAGGGTGCGTCCCTCGAGTGATCACAGACAGAGAGGGCCTTTGCGCTTAGCTAGGGGGAGGCCGCCGGAGACCAATGAGCCGAGGGGCAGTTTGGGGGTGTGGTGGGAGACAGCAGAGTAGAAGATTCTTTGAAACATTTTGCTGTTGGAGGATCAGGGAGTTTTGAGAGTAATACGTGTGTGGGGAGTTTGTAACTGTATTTTAACACCTGTGAAATAAAGCATTGAACAGCTCCCAAAGGCTCAGACTTGACACCTGACTGCTGTTCTGCTGGTAAAGATTTTCGGGCTGCGATAGTCAGAGGAGAGCTCTCGGAGAAGAGTCGCCCAAGAAGACCGGCCGGTGATGGATCGGGTGAGCCGGGCTGAGGCTGGTCTTGGAGCCAGTGCCCCGGGTTACAGCCCTGCCAGCTGAGGCAGCTGTCAGTGGGAGGGCAGAGAAGGACTGGGCAGCTGCAAGTTCTGGAGCTGCAGGTGTTTAGGTGGGCAATCATTAGTGGTCCTGGAAGTTATACCACGCTTGCAGATGCACTCTTGGGAGTGTGAGGGTCTGAGGAGCTCCCGAAGGGTTTCTGTAGGCTGCAGCCCACGGTCCTTCTGCTTCTGTGTTACCTAGAAATGTTTCAGACGGCAAATGTCAGTTCATGCTGCAGCTTGCTTGGTGGGCGGCATGGGCAGGACATCACCGATCTAAGTGGCCGGGGAGGGACAGAGAGGGGACACGTGTGCCTGTTCACCCTGGGCACTGTGTCCTTCGTCTCCCATGGAAGTGAACGCCGTTTGGTAAGGAAGACAAGGACTAGGGAATGTTGTCTGTTGGGAGACCGTTCTTTGGCAGCTCAGTAAATCTGGAGAAGATGCACCCACAGGGCACTCACAGGGTTGTGTTCCCGAGGGCCCCCTGGGTGACGTTTGAATCAGGGAATTCGCATGCAGTCAGATGAACCCCACGGGTGAAGAAGAGGCCAAGGGTGGGTGGGGGAGGGGCAGACTCTGCTCTGCCTGAAGGTTTCCTATTACAGAGGTCCCGAGTCTCAGACTATTACACAGTCCGAGAGTGAAAGTGGAGACTGGGGTCCCCGCAGGGCAGGATCTGTGGCGATGTCTGATACTCTGAATGTTAGGCTCGGAGCTGCTTGCTCTGCTGGTTAAAAAGTGCCAGGATTGGTAATTCTGCACTTTCTGGGGAGAAGTGTTCCATTGTAGTGTCTCTGAGGCCTGCTTTCGCTAGAGACCTGCTTGGAGAGCATCTTAGGGACGAGGCGCTCCAGGATCTGCCCCCAGGGCCTTATTCTGAAGATCTGGGAGGAGTGTGTATCCCAGCTGTCATTAGTATTTTTGGGGGGTCTCCCCCTTTCCTCAAGAGCTGTACCAAACCCCTTCTTACCATGGGAAAGTTGGAGTGTCGACGGAACTTTGTGCCCGCAGGGAAGGTGGTAGCGCTGGCAGGATGCATTGCGCAGGGCATTCCCACTTCAGTGTAAATGAGAATGACTGTGGAAGTTCAGAAGCAACTGTATTCCTTCTTCAAATACTCTGAAAACAGAGCTTTATGGTTTTTTGCACACCATATAAAGGCATATAAAATTTAAATGAAGTTCCTTAACCATTGCAGTAATCACTGCACGTTGGGTATTTCTCAGATATTTTTATGTGTCTGTGCAATGTTGCCTTTATAAAAATGGATGCAGACCACACACGTGGTTCCACACCTGCTCTGTTTGTTCGCACTCCTGTCAACGGCCTCTGTCAGCGCTGTCTCAGACCTGTGTGTAAGAAGTGCTTTGGGCCACAAGAGTGGGCCACCTGCTTTCTGCACATTAGGAGATAGGAGTTTTCACATGTGCACCGCCTGCTGCTTGCTTGCTTAGAGTATTCCTGTGGACTGCATGGAGGGAATTAATGAGTAATGCCTGTATCGGATCGTGTGAAGCCTGATCTACTCAGGAGAAGGGAGTATTCCTTGTGCAGAGTCTCTTTGGGTTCTGCAGTTCCTGTCATAATAGTGTATCAGCATCCGAGCCGAGGGAAAGAGTACGAGAATCTCCTTCATAAAGGAAAGGAGCACCAAGCTTGGGGAGCCGCCGGAAGCTTTAATCAGTTGTACTGTTGTTGATGCAGTTGTTTCTTCTAATGTGCAGGAGGCTGTCATGCTTTAGCTCGTCGAGTTCCCCTTTGGTGATGTTAGCTTGTCATACTCACTACTTCCGTTCTCTTGTCTAGGACCCAAGCTACTGGATACAGGTGCACCGCCTGGAGCATGGGGACGGAGGGATCCTGGACCTGGACGACATCCTCTGTGACGTGGCGGATGACAAAGATAGAGTGAGTCCGCCGGGGCAGCTGCCCATGAAGCAAGGCCTGGGGGTGGGGGGTCAGACTGCTTTCCTTTCTGACCTGACCGCCCCCTCTAGTATGCTTTGTTTCATAAGCACCAAGAATCTTCACCCTCCGGAGCACCAGGATATAAGGATTTCCTTGAAACCTGGGAAGAGGTTTTGGAGTTTTTAAACTGCAATTTTAAAAGCTGCAATATTGCAAAATAGTTTTCTGTGGAATTTTCTCCTCTTTTCACCCAACATAACGTCTGCCTTGGTCCCGGGTCCCCCACAGGACGAAGACTTTGTGTCACTGTAGGATATTCGGGGCCCCAAGTTCTGGTCCCTGTCCTGGTGCCTGACCCTGGGAGCCGCCCTTCCTCCAGCAAACCCTGTGCAGTGTGGTCTGGAGGTTTTGCGTCGTGAGTCGTGAGCGTGCTTACCCCAGGCACATGTCACCTGTAGGCCCCATTCTCTGTCCTCCTGGAATGAGGAAGAGGAGGTGATGAGGAGTGACAAAGAGTCTCAGTATTTTAGGAATTTGCAGCCGGATGTTTGCGTGTGGAAGTCAGCAGGTTCTTTATTGCAGTGAGGCAGAGTCGTGGGCAGGAGCTATGTAGCCACACCTTTGCTTTCGTTCACCTTGAACTGAAACCACAGGGAGGCCCGGCGCCCGCCCTCCGTGGTTGCGACACTGCGGCTGTCCTGGGCCCCTGCTGGGTCCGTCCACACCCTCAGGAGGCGTAGCTGTGAGAGCTCAGGCCACACCAGCCGGGTGACCTAGGAGGGTGGAAGATGGCAAACTCTTCTGACACGCTGCGCCCTTCCCCACTCCCGGCCCCACCTCTCCTGCCATCTCTTCCCTGCCTGCGCTCTGAGCTGGGTCAGGGGAGCCCTCGCCCTGCCTGCTCAGCACTGGCAGAAATCGCACACGTTCTCTTGAAATCTCAAGGAAAACAAAAAGTGTCAGCTACAGACACTGTGTAGGTTCTGTGGCCCTGCCTGAGGGCCAGGAACACAGCGTGTGCAGATCATTCTTGCCTGTTAGGATTTGATGCTGTGTTTTCTTGGTGCCACTTCTCCGTTTTAGGCTTTTCAGTTAGCAAGGAAACGGGTAACTCTCGAGGCTGACACAGGAAGATCACAACTTCAAGCCCAGCCTGGGCAGCTCAGCGAGATCTTGTCTCTAAAGAGAAAGGCAGGGGAAGTAGCTCAGAGCAAAGGCCCAGGGTTCAAGCCCAGTACTACAAACAAAGCAAAAGGAAGTTTTCCTGGAAGCCACGTGAAGACTACCGTTTGGGCATGTTACGCTAAAATGTACAGGAAGGAGTTTTTATAGTTGTACACATCAGCCGTAGTACGTATTTGATGTGTGGCAGCTCACATCGAAGTGAGCCTGCTGAGTGTTCAGGTCCCAGGTGGGCAGCAGCCGCAGAGACCTGGAGGCGAATCCCCGAATCCCCGCAGGTATCTTCTGCAGGACAGCGTTTCCCTGCATCTTCCCTCTTCCCAGCTCTTTCCTTCCTCCTCTTCTCGCTCTGGCCTCCTGCCCTCTGTCCCTGTGATTTCCTCACAGAAACAGCCCCCCCCCCCAGCTTCTGCAAGGCCCCGGGCCCCTCACCCTCATCCCCCAAAGCAACTGGGAAGAGCAAGTCTGGAACTGGAAATGCAAAGCCCTCAGTGAGGGACGCAGTCACTACCACCCCAGAGCTCGGCACTGTTATCGGGGCGAGCGTTCACCCACCCTTCTTTTTATCCCGATAGAAGCACGCAGTCCTTCCCTTCTAAATCAAGGCGCTGGACTAGAAGCACTGGTCATGAGTACAGCTCCAGTAAATCCAGCCGTGCTGCTGCGGCCATCTGACCCTGCCACAGGAGTTGATGTCTTCTGCCGCTCTGCCTGTCCTGGACGCCCGGCTCCCCTCACCAGCGTTCTCTGCACCCGGAGCCTCGGGTTCCTCTGCCCTTGCCTCCCTCCCTTTTCTCAGGGAGCTGAACCCAGGCCCTTCACATTGAGCTACATCTCCAGACCTGTTTAATTTATTGAGTTTTAAATTTTGAGACAAGGTCTGGCTGAGTTGCCCAGGCTGGGCTTGGCTTTTGACCTTCCTGCCTCAGCCTCCGTCAGTGCTGGGATTACAGGTGTGTGCGCAGTGCTGGCTCCCTTCTTCTGGGTTCCCCATTCTCCCTTACCCTTGGACTTTGTGGCTTTCAATGGGGTGAGGCAGCTTATCACGTGGTGGCTGTGATGGTCTGCCCCTGGCCTGGAGCTGGGATACAGAAGCGGGGGTCTGGTGAGGGGGATTTGCAGGGCTGCACAGTTGTTGCTGAGGAGGCTGGGCTGCCGGGGCGCGATCCCGATCAGCTCGGGGCCTCCGGGGTTCACAGGGTGGCCTTGCCATCCCCGTCCCTCTCCCTGCACCAGGGCAGCATCACACCCTTCACTTAGAGTTGGAGTCCACAGGAGCCAGCTGGGCTGGGGCGGCTGCGTCGTTGACACCCTCGGGGTGAGACCCCCTCAGTGCAGCTGGTTGTGAGGCCACACAGACCGGGGCAAGCAGGGTCCGGCTCTGAAAGCAGTGCGTATAAACTGTATCTCAGATTATGTGTTCTTGTGTGATTGTGTGACTTTGAGGATGACAAATCTATACATTGTCTAGAATCTTTTATTATAGTTCCTGTGCAGATTTATCGTTTTGTTTTTGCAGTACTGGAGATAAATCTCAGGGATGCTCTACCACTGAGGTACATCCTTGGCCCCATTTACCTTTTTATGTGTACTTTGTTTTTGAGACAGGGTCTTACTAAGTTGCCCATGCTGGTCTCCACTTGGGATCCTGCTGCCTTTTCCTCCCAGTGCTGGGATTATAGACATGCACCAATATACCCTAGTTAAAATAAAAATTTTAAACATGAATAAGTGAAATCCTTTTTAAGACAAGTTTATATTGCATGATTGAAATCAGTTTCCAAATGGAGAAATATTAGAGTCCTGTGAACCAAAGGCTGAAGTAGCTTTTAAATCCGTGCTTCATTTGTTCAGAAATGCTGTAACATAAGCATAATCAGTAATTTAGAATTATATGAATGACTTCTGATTTAGAGGGTTCATTTTAAGTTGTGATTGTGAAAGAGGTAATTAACAATCTTAAACCAGCAGCACCCAGATTCACAGGTACTGGATGCATTATTCAGACCAGGTATTATTGGGTGGTGTAGTCAGCCCTGTGGCTCCTTTCCATGGCTCTGAAATTTGATTCTGGTTTAATCATTTTGGAGTGTCTTCATACATTTCTGGCAGCTAGTCTACTGAGTAAGGATTTTGATGCTTGTTTTGCTTTTAGGTGTTTTTTTTTTTTAAAGGCAAAACATTACGGTGCTCTTGAATACTACAATTTTTCTCAAAAATGTCCTGCTTTGTGAAAAGCCCCTGGACTCATGTTTGTGAGGAAGATGCACAGGCAAGGGACGTAGGTCTCTCAAATCCAACACAGCACCTTTGTTTCCCAGCCCATTGTGACTCTTAGTGTGATTACATGAACTTCAAAATCACGCTTTGGATGAGGGAAATTCTAGTAAAGGTGCATATGGGATACTTGATGGTTATGAATTTGCAGTACTATGAAAAGTATTTTTTTAAATGGTGGACAAATTAGGATTAAGAAGCAAAACTCCAAATGACAGCTAAAGAAAATTTAAGTACTTCCTGAGCCATGATTTTGCTCATTGTCCTTCAGTTACTAGAGGTAGGTGCTGAGGAATTTCTGTCTTAGTGCCATGAGGTTCCACATCCAGTGTTTGCCCGGATTTGGTCACAGCCGGTGTGGGTTGTAGATCTGCTTAGGGCACTGCAGTGACCTCTGTTGTCCCTCTCCACCCCACTGCTTTCTTCTGGGGGCCAGAGTACGGGGAGTGTGTGCTGTCCCCGTGTCTTACACACTCTGAGTGCACACTGCTCAGTCTTCACTGGACTTCCACCATGTTCTGAAAACCAGAAGTGAGTTTTGCATTGTTGCTCGCACCCCTTACACCAGCTGTGTGCTCTTGCCTGTGCTGGGCTTTGTCTGTTTTTCAGTCTACTTGGTCTTCATTATTCCGGAGCCTTCCTGATGGTCTCAAGTGTGGGTCCAGGGCACTGCCGCCGTCCCTCTGTACCACATAAATTTAGAAATTCCCAACTTATCCCTGGGGAAGCATCTTGGGGACTCCTTTCCCTCTGAGGCTGATGGTGAGGGGCGTGGACGAGCTCTTAGGTGTGGTGGCAGGGCTGAGCAGAGCTGGGCACCGCCACGAGGCGAGGGCAGTGGGCAAGACCCCTCTCTTATGTGCTGGCCTGGCCTTGCTCATGTCTTGGGTGGTGAGGGTGATTTGCGGTGTGGTGCCAAGCCTTTCCTCTGTCCTGTGTGGGTCCCATTCTGCTGTGACCCACAGTGGCGTCACGTATTTCTTTTGGTGGTGACTTTGTGAAATGTCTTCTTCTACCTGTTTCTTGCCCTTGGTGAAGAAGAGGTTGAATGGGGTAGCAATTTATCTCGGGAGCCTGGTGTGGCGAAGGCTTATGGTGGAGGTTGTTGGCTGTTGCTTGTTGGTATGGCAGAGTCCAGGACTCTCAGGGGACGACGGTCTGGCCATTTCCTTAGAGGACAGTCGGGAAAGTGAAATTCTGGAAGGTGCGCACGATCGGGGAGAAGCAGCACCTTCCACAGCCTGCAGAAGCCCGAGTCCGTGCAGTGTATAGATGGGAGCACAGCATATATTTTTTGTATCTGGAATAAGGATTATTAAAGAGTTCATTGTTGATTTTGAAATAAGTTCCTAAAACATTAATAAGTTGGTCTGTTATGGAATGGACTGCTGCTTAAATGATGGTGAGATTGAACGGTGTATAATCGACACTTGCCTTAATTTCTTTGAAGCCCTCTTAAGTTCCTGACCAGTGGTGTGCCTGAGATTTAGACTCCTTATTGTCAAGAGCAATACTCTGTCTTAGTCACTTTCTCATTGCTG